TTAATTATTGTGATTATTGGACACTTCCTTAACTTTTGTGGTGCAGTATATTTCCTAGATAATGTTTTGATTAAAGCTATTTGTTTGAGTGATGAAAATTTTACACCATTAAATTTAATTAATCCAAACATAAATGAACTGATTATTAACGAAAATGTATTTATGGAAAATTTGAAAGAAAAGTCTTTACATGATAAATTTTTGAAGGAACTAAACAGCTACAGATAAAAAAGGTTCACACTTTTGGTTAACAAAACGAATATTTTTCCTGAAACCGAAGGTTTCATTTTTGCAATTCAATACCAAGTAAATAATATAAAAAAAATATAAAAATATATCATCAAAAGCAGTAATGATTATCTTTGCTTTAAGGTAGACTATGTGGAGCACAATAAGAAACAATTCAACATCTCATTTTTTCTTGTCAAGTGTTGATTGCATCAGACTATAAAGTAAGGCATGATAATATGGCCAAAATAATTCATTCTCAGTTAGCTTCTAATTGTGTTCTGATTCAAAATAAATAATAGTGTAAATATGACCCAGATTCATTTCTAAAAAATGACAATTACAAATTCTGTTGGGATAGAACAGTTTTAACTAGTTTGAATATAACTACTAATAGGCCAGATATTCTCATTTCCAAAATTGAAAAACATGCATTCTTAATTGACATTCAGAAGACTTATCAAACAAAAATTTCTAAGTAGATGAGTCTTGCCAGTGAAATTAAAAACATGTGGAACATGGAAAAGGTCAAAATAATACCAATAATCATTTTTGCAGTTGGAGTAATCTTGAACTTTTAAAATTATATTCAAATTTAATTATTGCAATTCAAAAAACAGTCCTTTTAAAAACTTGTCATATTGTTAGGAAATGCCTCAATATTAACAAAATCCATTTTAATAACAATAATAATTTTTAAAAGTGTGTCGGAAAAGTACACATAACGCAAATAGGGCCTTGGCTTCGTGCCTATTTGATGGGTGTGTGTTTGTTGCAGGTACAAGCATCGGATTTAAAAACATCGCCAGCAAGATTGCGAACGAATTGAAACTGTGACTGCTTGTGAAAGAACCGGAGGAGTCCGACGATCCATCGTAAAAGAAACAGTGTAGTGATTTCAGACTCGACTACTTTTATTTTGCGAATATTATGTGTAAGTTGCATTCACTGATCATAGTTACTGTTCCGATGAGGGCTTGCTGTTACAATCGCCACAGAATTTTTTAAAACGAATACCTGCGACTATAGCTTGTGATATCCGGAATTGAGGGAAGAGTACGAAATCTCTACACGTTTTAAGCATTCTGAGATCTCTTGTTGTTTTCTTAGAAGATACATAGACATTAAATGATATGCAACCCGTTTATATGACGCTATTAAATGGTACTTGTAAAGTATTTTAACGACAAAAGTCATTAAACAACTTATCGGTGATTTCCTCAGTTTTCTACATTAATAATATAATTCACGCTTTTGTTATTTAAGTAATAGGGACATGTAATTTTTATGCGATTTATTTAGTAACATTGCGTTAAATTAGGAGAGTTACAACAATCGCAATAGGAATTTTGAACCTGATGTTCGAATCGATGTCAATTCTCCCACTCTCGATTCTCATTGGAGAGGAATTGTGACTTTACATCATCATGATCATAAGTAAAAATTGTAATCAATTGACTCATTTTTTAGTCGTTTGTCTATAATTTTTATGTGATATGTATTTAATTTATATAAAAAAATCACAAAGTCACTGTAATGGACTTTCAAGGTGCATAAGCACTAAGTGTTTTTCAATTTGTAAATATTGTATGAAAGTTGCGAATGTGTGTGATTGCTAAAAATAATTTTTAATAATATTCGTGCCGTTTATTGCGTTCTTCAGGTGTTAATTGAGAGGGTTCGTTTATTTATTTATATATTTTCATTACTTGCAGTTACAAAACGGAAAGGATTTGTTTCGTGTCGATTGTAAGTGAAAATTAGTGATTGATAATTTTATTGAAGAGAACATCTGTTGAATGCAATCGTCGCGGCAGAGCACATATAACACGTCAAATCCATGAGTGTACTTAGATAAAAGAAAAAAGTCATTACCTTCACATGTTGTATTCCTTGCTTCTTCTGATTTCGAGTTTGGCATCTTTTTCCATTTAAGTTTGTACATTTTTATTTGCTGCAATCTTAGAAGAAGTAAGGTTATGTTTGATTAAATTTATAATAATACTGTAGTGATATGTAACAAAAAATATACCTAATTAATTGTTAGGAAAGAGCTTAGATTAGTATGCTGTAAAGAGCATTCTTGCTTTCCATGATTACCTTTACAATTTTGTTCACTGGGGATGGGCACTTTATGTTAGTGAAATGAATAATTGATCATTTATAATAAAAATAAAATTCTTATTTTGACTTTTACTTATTTACCTACCCAACAACCACACAAAAATCGTTCAATTTTGGTCTATGAGTAAAACACAAGACGTCACTGTCTTTTTAATACGCAAGAGTTTCGTCACAACTAGCGTATATTTAGGTGCTAATTTGTTATTTGCGTATTAATATTTATGTTTGATTGTGTTTCAATGCAGTCTCAGTGTGTAATTACTTTCTTTGTTCACTTGACACAATTTGTTTGTTTAAATTTAACTTTTTTAATAATACAGGTTTTTGAAAGGGAAATCAAAAGTATAGAAGTAAGTATGTTGGTTTTCCTCTCAAAACAATATTTTTGGAGATTTTTTTCTTTAAAGAGTTTGTTTCATCCATTTTCAAATATCAATAACAACAAAGCAATTGCAAATTTTAGGGTCAACGGATTACAAAAATATTCATTTTGTACAAACGAAACTGTGTTATATAAAGCTTAATTATACTGACAAGGTAGGGTTAAAGGTAATCCCCTATACAGGATGCGCCAGAACTCGTGCCCCAGAGAAAAATTTCAAATAAGATAACATACCAGAAACAAAAATTTTGACATTTAACATTTTTTTATGTTTCTTTAATGATACTGAGGATTCTGTATATGTTTTTTTTAATTATTTAATAAAGGTACAAAAATTTTGCCAATAAAAGCCACAAGTAACATTAAACACAGTTACAATTTAGGATACAGCTTCCTTGTTTCCTCTTCTTCAAAAAAACTTGGAAAATTATTTTTCCAACAGAAATGGAGTCAAAGTGCAAAATTTAAACTCTCATAACTTCGAAATTTTTTTAGGTAGATTTTTTTAAATATTTTTTCCATGTTTTTGGTATCTTACCTTATATGACATTTTTCTCTGGGGCGCGAGTTCTGGCGCATCCTGTATAAAAAAAATCTACCAAGCGTTTACTTAAACTGTATTATTTCCTGAAGTTTTGTTAAAACAATAAATCAGTGATTGAAATTTGTTAGTAAACTAAATTTTTATACAATCATGAAAGAAAATAACGGGTGTTTATTTAAATTTGGCGTCATAGTTGGCAGTGATATGAGTGTGAACGGACTACAATTTTTAATAGACCCGTGAGGTGTCAAATGTCAGATTAACAACTTTCAGTTTTCAGTTCGGTGGTTCGTTTACAATCAAACTTTCATGGATAGGTTTTTGACGCCAAATTTAAATAAACACCATTTATATGTATAATATAATAAATAGTTTGCAAATCACTCACATACATAGGTATGTATACCATAAGCATAGATATACCCGGCATTGTTTTTTTTTTTTAGTATTATTTGTTGAAAACACTAAAATTGTGGTACTTTAAACGATACAAATACTGTTGGAGACAAAATACTTTGGTCGTCACTTTTCTGACACTTTAATGTAATTCAAGCTTTAACGTTAAAATGAATGTCAATTTCAAATTAATGACATCTATTATATTTTTCTATCAAAAATATGTACAATTTGTCAACTATGATTGACAGTAGCTAAAAATAAGGTTAACAGTCCTAAAGCATGCTTTACAATTTAATGTCACTCAAGTGACATTGACGACCAAAGTATTTTGTCTCCATCTGTACATACGTGTTTGTGTTCTACGTAATGTTCTAAATGAAAAAAAGTATGACAAAAGTGTATTTAATTCAGAATCTAATACAGTTTTTATGCATTTTATTCTGTATTTAAGTATTATGGACGAAAACCCAAAAATATTTTTTTACCAAAGTCATTTTTCTTATAATTTATACTTCACATAACAAAATAACAAAACACGGCCCACGTTTCAAAATGAGTTATTAACTATTATAGTTAATATTATTATTATTAACTTTGTAGTTTATTTCTACAACGAAGTTGCAATTTATTGTGGAAAAAAGAGAAAGCTATTGACATAGTCAATTTAATTTTTTTTGTAAAACTTTTCACTCATTTCTTGTGTGGTGATGTCTCAAAAAATTCTGTATAGATTAATTAACACACCAGTTTAATTTTTTTGTTCGAAAACGGGAAGTTATTAGAGTATTGCTATTGTATTTAAAAGGCATTTAAATATTTAGTAAATAAAACGAAAAATGTGATTTTTGAGACATTTTTTTATTTATCTCAAGAAAATGACGAGACATGAACTGTTTGTAAATGAATTATTAATTTTTTGTTTTTTTTTTTCTACAACAAAGTTGCATTTTTTGTGCAAAAAGGTGAAAGTCATTGAGTAATGGTACATTTTGTTCTTTTTTTTGTAAAACGTTTTATGTATTTCTTGTGATGTTTGTAAATATTCTGTATAGATTAATAAACACACCAGTTTAATTTTTTTGGATCAAAACGGGAAATCAATAAATTTTTTACGTGTTATAGATATTATTAATTTGTGCTTCAAGTATGACAAAGTTAATTTGTCCACTACCTTATTAATATAGTATCTACTTAGTAATACAATAATTTGTAGTAAGTACAAAAAAATAAGTAGTGGATAATAATAATTATTGGAGTTTGAAATTGGCGCGCCTTCTTTATCGAAAATTTCCACCAACCGAATAACGTCATTAGTGCGCCAGTTGAATAAAATCAGCAACACGTCTGGCTCCGCCATAAGTTAAAACTAGCCTCCAGAGCAGAGTATTTGCACAAGAATTGAATTGATTTAACTCTTTTACAAAATGAAATACATTCTTATAACCGGAGGAGTGATTAGTGGTGTCGGAAAAGGTGTTATTTCAAGTTCGTTTGGTGCAATTTTGAAGTGTTGTGGCATTGAAGTAACGTCTATAAAAATCGATCCCTACATTAACATAGACGCTGGCACGTTTTCACCGTATGAACATGGTAATGTATAAATTTTGATAATTTTAAATCAGAATAATTCAATATTTGTTCGTTTTATTATTCTTTACGGAAATTTGTTGAAATTTGAGGAAACCAGACCACATGTGGCCGCATGGTTGAATTTCATTGCTGCCAACGTGGAAGAACGAAAGTCACCATCGAGAATTGATTCAAATTTGAATATGTGCCACGTCGAGTCAAAAAACGAAAAATAATGAAATAATTGCTCAAAATTTTATTTCTATGGCATATTACATTTTTGTGAAAAATTAAAATTGTGCCCTAATTTAAAGAAATGGCTCAAAACTGTTTTTTTTATTATTTGCAACGTCAGAGAAGCCTTGTATGCCTTACATTAAGAAGATCATTATTATAAAACAGTGTTTCTCAATTATTGCATGAATTACACAAATTTAATCAAGGATTTGTATAGTCTATTACTCATGTCTGTGCTAATATTTACCGAGATATTCAAGTTCTAATTATAAAATATGCTAAAAAACAGGGTTGGAATGCTACAGTTTTTCAAATAGCATTTTAAATCCATTCTTTACAGCTGATTTAAATCAGCACTGCTTTATACAGATCTGTAGAAAATGGTCTGTTTGAGTTGGCAATCCTGAATTTTTATTTTAATGGTACTTAATTTAGTTGCCAGCACAAAGAGTCATTGTTGATTACACCATATTTTAATATTCAATAATTTTTTTACATATTTTATGTCAAATGTGAATGATTGTTTCTCTTTCTTTATTTTATCCAAAAAAAAAAAAAAAGAATTTGTACGAAATCAGAATTAAAATTTTACTCGCAAACTGATGCTTTTATCAAAAATTTGCAAAAGTAAAATCTTTTGAAAAAAAACTTCATTTATAATTGCAATCAAAAACACACTTTTTAGGAAATTTTAAACTCCAAAAAGTGCAAATTTATTATTTCATTAAGCTCCAACTGATAAAAACTTTACTGTTATATTTTTGGTAAAAAATTGCTTAAAGAATGACGAATGAATTTACGGTATATCAAATAAAAGTTAAGGGCGGTTTTAATAAATGATTTTTTGGTAATAAATTGCTAAAAAATTACCTATTAATAGATGTTATTTCAAATAAAAGAGCTGTTTTAATAAATGACATACATGATGTCTCATTAAAGTGACAATCTTTTTCTTATAACTTTTTGGACTATTTGCAAAATTTGTGGTTTTGTAATTCTTACTTTTTAATTTTGAAATAGTAAGGTTTTCAAAGTTATAAT